AACCACCGGCTGGGGTCTGGATGGTGCAGCTCGCGCCGTGGATCAAGAGGTTCTGGCATACAGAAAGACAAATCAGAACATGCGCTATCAAAACGATTGGTGTGTGATGTTCAAGAAGAGAGTTATTCGTAGTCTTACACCCACACGAAAAGGCATGCCAGCTACAAGTACAGCGGGTTCATTCAGGCGTGTCGCCTTCATCCGGGAGCAGTTCTTCGACTGACTGGCAGTTTCGGTCCTCGCACGCCCACGCGTGCTGCAGCAGCTGCATGTATGTATGTGCAGCTTGATATGCCCCTGCCGCTCCTCGCGCTGGGCGGGGCCGAGGTGCTCCCGAACGCGCCTGGATGAACTCGAGCGGCCGGGGGTGCAATACTACGGCGTTGGCCGCAGTAGAATGAGGGAGGGCCGACGGAGTGCACGAAAGAATGAGGTACATGTACAAAAAGACCTAGCTATGTAGCGATGATGATGCTAAAGTTGGTTCAGCACAGCTTGGCACGGCTCAGCACAGCATGGTCTAGCATGAGGGGGTTGTCCAAAGATATGACACCAAGATAAGTTGAAGAGGTGGTGCGGGTTGGAACAAGATACAAAACGGTGCCACCCTCCGTGCAAGGCTCACAATTCTCCCGCTTCCACTTTAGCTCGACTCACCCTGCTTTGTTATCGAACGAGTGCTGTCGTCTGGGCAGCAATCCGAGCTGGAAGTGATTGCCTTGGCATCGGTTTGTCTTCTCCAGCACCTGGAAACACGTAATAAGTTGGCAACGACATCTAGAAAACAATTTCAAACCATGAGACTAGTCAGCCGCTGACTACAGTCCAAAGATTTGATGCCGGCTTCTAATATATTGTGTGGGTGCTTGTTACAGTAGGCTATAGACACCAACAACGATGACCGCTGGATGCCCAATTCCCACGACCCAATAAAATTACGCTAAGCGATTAGTCAACCAAGGCCGACAACATCGATCAGAGGAGGAATACATACGGGTTGAGTGGGGAATCCTCTCTCTTTGACTTGTTTTTTGCTGCCTCAGACAACATGAACCGTCGCTCGCAGGTTTACCTGTCTGTGCCCTCTACGACGTCTCCCCCGTAAATTTAATGCGTGTTGAGAAAGAGGCGATCGCAGCGGTACATAAATACTGCTGCTGCTGCTTACAGTAACAGTTGACAGAGGACTACTCTTTGAAAAGCGTTTTTGCGGGAGTTGGAAGTCCTGAAGGTTGATTGAAGACACCAGTCGGAGGTGCGACGGAAGAAGGGTGGTGCGTACCTCCCTCTCTCTCTGCTGTTCAACCTCGGGTACAAGATCTCCTACGGTCTGTCTGTTTAGGCTTCTGCAACGCATGGTTTCTAGGAGAGATAACTCTGATGTCGGTCAACGACGAACACTCTTTCTGGGAGGACAACCTCCGTCGATCGATGATGCACACAGGGTCTGTAGAAACGGATAGCTGGAATGAGAATGTTGGCACGTCTGGTACGGCACTTGTTGATCGGGGTCTAGACTACTGCCCGTCATGTGTACAGCAGTAGGACGCCCATCGTACATATGAGTATTGCCGGCATACATGGTGGACAGTGTTGCGTGTTCGCAAGTCATGAAGCGGCACCGGTGAAAGGAAGACGGTACTGCTGTTGTAGTAGGAGGATGATGGCCTCAAGTGATTCAACTGGTGTGGATGTATACACTACTGCTGTAAGAGACTGTCACAGTGGCACATTCTCGTAGTGTTTGCTGCGGCATACCCGTTGAAGAACACCAGCGAGGGACGAAAATCCGGTCAGCTCAAGGTGTGAAGCAAGTTGAAACGGTGTGATTTCGTCGCAGTCTTCAACCACGTAGCCGTAAGGCCTAACGGGGGTGAACGGGAGGCCGTGGGTTGAGCTAGGATTGCTGGATGCTGGAGATGTCACGTTTCGCGTCTCAGGAACGGTCTGGAGAACAGCGACGCGGCGCAATAAAACATGCGACACATGGCGACATGGCGGCACGGCTGTTGCGCCGCTGTTGCACACCATACATTTGTCCCAGGGTCCCACCCATACCTGACCCATTAGAGAGCAAGCAAAGGGCTGAAGCAGCAAAGAAGGAGAGCGGGTGGCGACAGACAGTCGAATAGGAAAGAAGTGGGAGAATAGGCTGCAGAAGGGGGCATCGACATCGCTAGTTTTCGTTGTAGTGAGATGGCGCAGAGAAGGCAGCCAGAAGAGGCACAAGAAGGAGCTGCGGACATTAACGAGCGGATTGAGCACATCAGTCCCAATGACACCAGCAGGACGCAAGGCGGCGGGGTGGAACCAAGAGGGATACCCCACCTGTGGATGGATTCAGGTTCGGGGAGCAGACAAGAGGGCGGGGGAGAAGAAGGACGACAGAATCGACGGGTGACTACTAATAATAGTCGGAGCAACAACACCAGTTTTTGCAGAGCTGAGGAGCGCCAACCCACGGTCTCACGCCCCGGCCCGCCCTCACGCCACGGCCCGGAGTCGCAGCCCAGCAGCATGCATCCCGATTCCCCTCCCTCCAGACTTCTGGGCTCGCCTTTCGGACACTCCGACCCAGTCACCCACCAGCATCAAGAATCTGGGACCTCCTCACACGGCGGGAAGAGACCCCAACAACAGGGGGGGTTCGAACCGTTTGCGGCGGGGACGAGCCGCGGGTGGAGCAACGCACTGCACGGCCGGCGGGGAGGGGAGACGCTGCAGCGGTGGGGGGCGGGCGTGTACGGTGGGGGGGGACACCGGTACAACCGCGGCGGTGAAGGTGGGTGGCAGCAGCAAGAAGAACGGCCGCCCGCACTGCCACGGCCGCATGAAAGTGGAGGGCCGGGCAACATGCCGCAGCAGCGTGGACCGCGAGAAGAGCGCTGGAGCTTCGGTGAGAGCGGAGGGCAGATACATGACCCGCGGCAGCAGCGGCAGCCAGCCTACCACCAGCAGCAGCAGCAGCAGCAACAGCAAAACACCGGGATTCCTCCGACGGCACCACCACAACAACGCGACCGAATTGGCAGGGTGGCGGGAGCACTGCTAGAAGTAGAAAAGCAGGCAACCACGCCGGTGAACAGGGAGGCAGAGAAGGCGTACAGCAGAGGGGGGCGGCCGGTTAAGATCTGGACGATGCTGCGGGGGGATGGGGGCCCGCTGCCCTTCACCGAAACCGACCTGCACATGCTCGTGCCGGAATGGCGTCTCGAAGGAAGCGCAGCGGCGCAGATGTACGCGATGGGGGGCGTTGACGTCCGATGTTTCTCGGGCCGAGGCTGTGAGGGAGCGGGGGGGGGGCAGCAAGAAGTGGTGCTGGATATGGACCGTAGAGTCGACATCTTGTTTGACGTGGTGGGGCGCCTGGGCAAGTTCGCTGTGCAGGACGATGTGGCAAAGCACCGGTTTTCGGCGTGGGAGGGTGAGACGCGGGCGTCGGCCAAGCGGATCAGGGCCTTTTTTACGGCGCACCTGTTGCTGGCTCGAAGCGACCGGTTCAAGGGCGCTTTCGCGACCGCGTTCAACCGGGACTTCGAGGAGTGGGCGCTCGGGGTGGCGGAGAGGGCCTTCGAGACCGCGCCGTGGTCGGGGAGAATCCCTTCGGCGAAGGCGGGCGACCTCCCCCCTATCCCGCCGATAGCGCTCGACATGACATGGACACTGTTCACACTGGCGCCGTTGATGGAGTTCTTGGGCAACAGCGACGACGACGACGACGACGATGACGTCCCGCAGGGCATGGGAGGAGGCGGGGCCAGCAGCTGTGGAAGCAGTAACACAGGCAATGGCGCTGGGGGGAAGGGGCGGGGGCACCGACGACTGGCGGCGGCGCGGGGGGGTGAGGGTGGCGGCGGCGGGATCACCCGTAGGACGATGATAGCCCCCGCGACGGAAAACAAGGACGCGGCGTGCCACGCCTTCAAGGAAAGCGGGGTGTGCACGCACGCCGCCAGGACGAGGGTCGAGTGCAAGTACCAACACCCGGGAGGGGAGAGCCACGAAGGGGTGGTGGTCCACGCCAAGGCGGGCCAGAAGCGGAAGAGGGGGTAGGGGGTAGGGGAGGGGCTCCGTGAGGAGGCGGAGACAACCGTGCAGAGGTAATAACGGGAGGAGCGCATAGATCGGCGGACAACTGTATGTACTACAATATATACCACGGTAACATAAAATACATACTGTAGAAGTCGAGAGACGGGACTTGGGGAAGGAGACTGGGCTGTTGCCGGGGTGGGCGGCGGCGACAATCAAAACGTACACACGGCGACGATGACGGCGCGTGGAGATTTGAAAGCAATATATGGTGTATGGCATGACAAGGCTGGCGCAACCATGGAGAAGGGTGCACCGGGTTGGTCCCCCGGCATGCGAGGGAGACTGGTGCTGTTGGCGAAAGTTGTGGCGCTGTAGACTCGTTTCCGTGATCATCAGCCGTCGCCCCCCCCCCCCCCCCCCCCCCCTTCCCCGTTCCCACCCCCCCCCCCCCCTTTTTCTCTTTTCCTTTCCCCCCCCCCTAAAAATTCCCCAAACTCCCCCAAAAATTTTTTAAAAACCCACCCCCCCCTTTTAAAAAAATTTCCTCCCTCTT